GTCCAGTGAGTCCCACGAAATCGTGTTGATTCGCAACGCCATCACCTCCATTTTATCGTTGACGCGGGAACTACGTATCACATCAATTTTTCGAAACAGTGAAACGCTATTTAAATTTTTCAAAGAAAATTGTGAGCGAATCCAATTCTAATATTTTTGGAGGGCAACAAATGTCTACATTATTATTACAATTATATTCTGTTGCCGTATGCTCGGACAGCGCACGATATTTTACAATTTAGTTTTCTATACATTAACAAAAATTATGAGAACTTTATTCAATATATATACACCGCGCAACAAAAATTTGTAGCAAAATTTCACTAAACTGCAAATAATCGTAACTTCGCGTTAACTTGTCGCATTTGACCCAATTGGGGTAATTATTTTATTACTTGTATACTGTTTATGTTATACCATTGTCTATTTGATTGACTGATTCATCTCTTTATTTTGATGATTTCAGTAAAAATTGAAGCAAATCGATGATTCGAGTTTCGAACATGAATTTTCCACATTTTGTTGTCGATTTAAACGAACCGCAGCCAGTTTGTGTTTTACATGCAAATATTCGATAATCGTATTCTTTTAAAAGTGGAAACTTTATTTCGGTTTTAAGTGTAATATCATATAAGCATTCTATAAGATACAAGTTTTTGAAAACGAAAGCTTGTGTCTTTACGAACTAAAGATCCTTTTCTTATGTTGTAAAAATGTAAAAATAAACTGAAATGCATCATGCTAAAGTAGGCCTTTGTGAATATGTAATTAAAGTTTTATTGGGAAACATAATACCTATTGTTCACTGCAGCACCTTCTATATGCAGCTAAATCAATTCGTGGATCATTGATGAAAATTTCTATTGGTTTATTAAGAGAGAAGGAGAACAATCGGATTCATAGAAAAATCCGCATATAAAATATTCCATACATATATGTATATAGATATTAATTCTGTGGTCACAGTAAAAAAGACTATATAAAAGCTACCAGAAACAATACATATGCAATGACCACAATTCCTAATTGCTGATAACAGTAAACATCAGCTATTAATATACATTAATACTATTCATACATTACTATTCATACAATTATTATATTAATATTTTAGAGTATCAGTTTTTATGAAGACTTACGATTTCCCTTTTCATATAAATAAATGCGCGATTATACGTTAAATGACTATAATTGTGCAATATTGTAACTGTATATTATAATGTATTTGAACTTGTAAAGTATGGGTGCGTATATAAGTCTTATAAAAGTAATGATCATTCTTAAGTAGTATTTAATTCGTACTTTACTATTTAAAAATTTCAAAAGCGTAATCGAAAAAGAAAGGAATTGTAAATGGAGTTTATAATATTCTTATGTACCAACTAGAGTTAATAAATGGTTTTATAAATGGTTTTATAACGTGTTACCTTAAAGAAGGCAATAAATGCTATTATAGCTTTTTTTTCCGATTGCTAAAGATTTAAATACTTAAACATGATGTTATCGTACAATTATCACTTTAATATTTCCTCTTCTTTTATCACTATATAAAATATGAATAATTTGAAAAATAATATTAAGTATTCTTGGACTTATTCTCTCAAAAGAAAAGAAATTTATACAAATATTTCGGTTTATATAAGATCTTCTCTTGTAGTCACAAACATTTTATAGAAAACACATGCAAAAAGTAAATGCTTCATAATGGAAAAAAAATTCTTTAGTTATTTCCAAAAACTGCAGCTATCGTCTAATAAACGATTTGCTCTAATCTATTAAACGTATATGTCGTGATTTTTAAAGGGTCCTTCCAACGTGTTTTATATTTTCTCATTGCTTCAACGAGAGGATTAAGCCCTGAGAATATTCGACAGCAGAAACGCCTGCAAGATCCTAAAATTTTACTGAATAATACCTGAGGTATTTATTTTCAAATTTTTAAAATGTATTTGTAGATAAGAAAATGTTTACAGGCAATGATAATCTGAAATTTTCTTTCAGACCGAGCTTTTAAACATATACAAGAGAGTAGTTTATTAAATTATTCGCTTGAACGATCGACATTACTTATCCATATTTTGAGATGCGAGATAACAATATCATGTCGCACTGGCGCGTTTCAATGCACAGGAATGACTTTGGAAGTATACTACCAAAGATTAATCGCAATTCATGTTTGTTGAATATTTACATTAAACAAATTAATATCTCTAGTCAGCCTTGCGTGGCTTACGAACTTTGCGAACATTGGAACTACTGGTATCAGCTTTAGTATCTTTATCTTTCTCACTCGCTTCAACTTCCTTCGCCTCAGATTCCTTCGCTTCAGACTCCTTCACTTCAGGCTCCTCTGCTTCAGACTCCTCTTCGTCTACTATATCATCCCCCATATTTTCTGCACTTTCATCCTCGTCTGAATTTTTCTCCGTCTGAGTAACGTCCGTTGAACCACTCTGTTTCTTCTTGCCTTGTTGCTGTGCCGGTTTTTGTGGAAAAATGAAGTCGATCAAGCACACGATGAACTACAAGTACAAATACAGTTAACGTCACCTGTTCATTAAGCAAATAAATGTTATGTTATAAAATATATAACATATCTCTCACCAATCCTAATATTGTGCCCAAAACAACTGTTGCAATAGCAAAAATCAAGTAACTACCCCACACGGGTAATCCAACTTCTTCCAAAAGTTGATCGTGGAGATTCTAAATGGAAGTAGTGATGTTCCATTAAAATTTTTGCGACAAATGTAATAATGTAACAGAATATAACAAATACATATATATATATATATTACTTACACGTAATATTTGGGATAGTTTAAAAAATTGACTTAAAATTGACATATGGAACGAAGTTGGATTTTTCCAACTAGATATCGGATCCACTTTCATCCAAGTCTTTTTAGATACAAATTCGATCAACGAGGATTTATCTCTTGGGCTCTTGTACTGCCTGAATATCCCATTGTTCACACTACAAAGTAAAAAATAAATTCCACAATACAGATACTAAATTTAATACAAGTTTCCTAATTGCTTTACAAAATGTAAAAATAATTAAGTTAGTATACAGGGCGTCCAATTTCTCATAGACCAAGCGAAAAGTAATGGTAGAATAGATCGAACATAACAAAAATCAATTTTGCAAAATTCATAATAGTTTTTAAATAATAAACAAACACTATTGAACTAATGAGCGCACAAGGAGCGGTCACTCGTTTACGTCTCCTACAATCCGACAGACGAGATGAAAAAGATAATTAGTGATTGCTGCACATTGCTCGCTGCCTGCCTATCGGATCATAGGATATGTAAACAAGTGTCGGTGCAATATATATGAAAAATATAAATGATTAGTACGACAATCTTACTGATATATCGTGGGCAAAGCTGTGACCATGAACCTGCCGCTAAGACCTGGAGAATTCGTCACGTCTATCTTTCCAACATTAATATTTAGATCCTTCTTCGACGACGCAAGATCCTCCCAGATCGGTTCGAGTGCTTTGCACGCGGGACACCAGGGTGCGTAACTAATAAATAACACAACATGTTAGATCCTGACAAACTATTCTAAATATTATTTATCACGCATTTTAACAAATGTACGTTAAAATAATATAACTCGGTTTAGGTAGTAAGATAAGTTTAGTAAGATCTCTACGATGAGTTGTTAGTTGTTAGTCACAAGTCGGAATCAAATGTCAATCCGTTTTCTTTCTGGGTGATAGAAAAGGAACCGATGTACAGTCCCGACTTCCGACTACCCAGCGAACACCGAGCATCAGTTACATTGCATCTGTGTACAATTTCTCGCTCGACAATGTAAATGTAATACAACACGTGTGTTGCATCAAATTTATATTCTCGAGTGAGAAATTGTGACTCGGTGTTCGCTGGGCAACGACTAAAGCCCGTATCAGACTACGGATTGGGATTAGATTGAAATTTAACCAATCACAGTAAAGTTTACTAATCTTAAGTTCAGTAACTTTTACTCTGATTGGTCAAATTTCAATCTAATCCCAATCTCAATCCGTAGTCTGATACGGGCTTCAAGCCTATCACACAATGCCTGGCAACAGGCAATAGGAATAGGGAATATAATTTTTGACGCGTTGGATTCGTCGGAAATTCTCTTCCAGCCAATCCAACGCGGCAGAAATTCTATTCCCTGTTCCTGTTGCCTGGCATTGCCTGTGTCCAGCAGAAGTTTGCGCTTGCTAAGCGCTTTGCGTTCATTGGATTATACTTTCAGATCTGTGCTGAAATAGAGCTATTCTTCTAGATCTATCCAATCAGCATAAAGCGTTTATTCTTAGCTAACTTCGGCAGAACACAGCCATTGTGTGATAAGCCTAAGGCCCGGTCTACAATGAGTCGTTAGTCGTTAGTCAGAAGTCGCAACTATATGTTGATCCTTTTCCTTTCTGGGTAGAAGAAAAAGGACCGACATATAGTTCCGACTTCTGACTAACGACTAACAACTCATTGTAGACCGGGCCTAACAGTTGTTATGAGTTCATTGTAGACCGGGTCTCAAAGAGTCTTCATAATGTTATTAATTACAAAATACGCGTATATAATCTAACTGCGTGGCTCAGTCGCCGCGTATTTTTCACGGGAATTTTGCGCTCGTCGCTGACAATCAAATTCGGGCACTTTTCGACACGCCATCAACCGCGAGGCGGTTGATGTCGACGTGCATGGTCGCGCACTTACAACTCGACCATCCACTCTCCTATTAGCATGCGATCCCAGTTATCCTCGTTCAGCTGCTCGACCAAGACGTCCTTCGTTCGCCGCGTGTCCGTGTTCGCGTGCGCGCTCGCGTATGCGGACAATAGCGCGACGTAGACGAAACACAATACGGGACCCATCCTGACGTTCAACGTCTCACCGTCGGCGACCTTAACCAACACTCACCGGCGCCGCACCACGACGCCAACCGCCGAACAAATGCAACCCCAAATTGCGTCGGCGACCACCGCGGATAACGGGACTCAAGTAGAGCGTGAGCGAGCGACGTCCGATAAAACAATATCCGACGTCCAATAGGAGCGTTCATTTTCTACAGTCTCTAGAAAACGGACACTCCTATTGGATGATCGAGCGGCAGGGCAAGTTCCTATGAGTTGTGGCGATTTATTTTAAAGCCCGCTGCAGACGATGCTAATTTTTCCTGCTGGATTGCTTGCGATTTACGAAATTACTAGGAATCCTGAGTGCTGAATGGTGCAACGATAGTAATTTATTAGATCGCAAGCAATCCAGCAGGAAAAATAGCATCGTCTGCAGCAGGCTTATAATAA